TCAACTCTTGCTTTTAATGTTCATCAGTCAACATCATCCTATATTCGTGGAAAATTTTTCCCTTCCTTCAATGTAAAATGCCTTTTCTCAGCACTCTTGCACATTAATTTTCTAAGTATACAGTAAGCTCAAATTGGCTAACTGTCTATGTTGTTATGCTGGTTATTTATGCAAAGATTCTGGCTCTTGACAAGCAATGCAAAAATATATAAATATTTCTTGCAAATCAAATGACCAAGTTGTAAAATTAGTAATCCATGAATTCTTCAAATGTACATCCATCTTATCATAATTGTCACAAATAACTATTCTGGATATTTAAAAAAATTGTGTGTTTCATAAAATAGGTCATTAAAAGGTGGTCTATATATATATTTTTGTTTATTTATTTACTTTGAGAGAGAGAGCAAAAGCTGGGGAGGGACAGAGAGAAAGGGAGACAAAGAATCCCAAACAGGTTCCATGCTGTCAGCACAGAGCCTGACCTGGGGCTTGAACTCACGAACTGTGAGATCATGACTGGAGCCAAAATCAAGAGTCAGATGCTTAACTGACTGAGCCTCCCAGGCACTCCAGTACATATATTTTTAAGTTAAAATAATTTGAGGAGGATGCAGACTTATTGCAAAAATTCTAGCATTTTGGTTTCATTACATCTCTATGGAATTATCTGGTATTTGAGCTAGTTTTGACCTCAGTACAAAGCAGGATGGTACAACAGATAGGGGTTAGGATTGCCGTCAGAGAATATGGTTATTGTCCTGCTTCTGTCAGTCATTAACTATGTTATTTGGTGTGAAATTTCTTTATTTGGCAATAAAAGTTACTATACATAGATGCCTAAAATGTGCAACTTTCTTAAGTATTTATTGGCCTTATATCATTTAATTCTCATATTAACTATAGTGTCATCCTCCCCATTCTATAGAAGAACAAATTGAGGTTCAAGGAGCTATGCGATTTTATCTAGTGAGCAACACTCAGAAGATGAACTCCATTTTACCTGCCTCCATGGCTTGTGGAATTAACCACTGTGAAATACTGCCTCTCAAAAATGTATGAAGTGAGGAAAATATATATCATATATTGATTTTCTTTTAGAATTCACAATATATGATATAAATGTTATTGTTAAGAGGGCAGGTAAGTAAGCTCATAGGTTTTTTTTTTTTTTTTTTTTTTTTTTATTTACTTTTCAGATAAAAGGAGCTTAGAGGAGGATGAATCAGTTTGGTAAATAAACAATGCCAAAACCTAATAGCCTAGCAACAGTCTTTTTGAAGCTCATAAGTTTGTGGGTCAGTGCCTTTGGGCTAAGTTCAGCTGGACAGTTCTTCTGGACACATGCATAAGAGCAAGGCAGTTCTGCTTCTAGGAATTAGCTGTGAATCATCTAGGGGCAGAGATAAGAAGTTTTAGCTGTCGAGGGCATTTTATTTCTTTTAGGTATTCGTTTCTTTTAAATCCTTCCTCTATTATATCTTCTGACTTGTTTCCTAATGGTGGTTCTCTTTGTATCAAAGGTGTGTGCTTGCGTGCTCACATGTGTGTGTGTCTGTGTGTGTGTGAGAGAGAGAGAGAGAGAGAGACAGAGAGAGAGACTGGTATTTATGCCTCTCATCATCAAGCAGGCCAGCTAAGGTTTATTCTCATAGCACTAGGGTCAGGTTCCAAAAAAGAGAGAGGGCAGAAGTATGCAAGACCTTTTGAAACCAAGGCTTTAAACTGGTACATCACTCCCACTTCATTCTGTTGGCCAAGGCAAGCTACAAAGCCAGTACAGATTCAGGGGCTGGAGAAACAGACTTGATGGGAGCAGATGCAAAGCCACATTACAAGGGGGCATATCTACAGGGTGGGGTGGGAAATTGTGGCCGTTTCTTAATCTGCAGAGGCATTTTGCTCATGAATATATTGCTTTTTGAAGGTGACTAATATTTTTAAAATTCTTACAGTAAACTTTATAAGAGTTAATTTGTTCAAGAGTTAAACTTTTACAAGTATGTCATTGTGACAGTCACAGTGTGGCTTAATGAGATCAAGCCACATTTCTGGTGGTGATGCAGTGCTCAGTTTCCATAGCCTTCTGTGATGCTGACTCAAGGATATAAAGAAAGCAGCATTTCAGTTGCTTCTCCACCAGGGGTAATGTCCATATGGTCTTTTAAATCCTTGCTCCACACAGACCAACAAAGGAAACCACAACTGTTTTTTCCACCTCAGTTTTCCATTGCCATCTTTCAAAGATTTGCTTTCTTTTCACTTTTATCTGTCTTTTACAGAAGCATCAGGGAGTTAGTTAGCTGGAGGGGTTTTCTGTTCTCTCCTGTCTTACATAATAAAGATTGAATATTTGTTTTAGGATCTTCGCCTCTTATATTGACCAGAAAAAAAATTAAAAGAGACTGTATTTCATTCACTGCTTTTTCTATCAATTCTTCATTGATATGCATATCTCATCCTTTTATCTTTCCGTATTTCTTATTTTCAAACTTATCTGAACTGTTCTTGAATTTCACATCTAATCCTTTATGAATCACAAGAAAAGTGTGAATTCTTCTAAAAGATGATCCTCTTGTCAATGTGATTATTTCTAGATAGCTTATATAAACTTAGACTCAAATTGATTCATTAGACCTTTGTTTTCTCATTTCCCCTCCACGATTCCTTTGTATCACCCCCCCCCCTTTCCTTTGGTTTCTCTATAGATCCCTCAAAATACAAATTTAATATTATCAAGCTGAAGGTTTTCATTATTGATTTCTGCCATCTATATGAGTTACTTTCTGGAAGTCTTGTAATTTAATGTGAATATTTCCTCCATTTTAATTAGAAGGAGTAATTTATGTAAAACATTTTGCACATAGTAAGATCTCAGTAAATGTTATCTATTATTATAAATGCTTCTGCTACTACACTTACTATTGCTAATTTATTTTAAAGCAAACCATATGCCTTTTTCTCCCTATTGAATTTACATTAAACTATATAAGGAACCATCTAGACAATATGAGAACACATGTTATAATTAGAATATAATTTTTCTTTGGAAATTTCCTGGCAACTGAAATTTACTATCACTGTTATTTTAAGAAATGCCTCAATCATTGATAATAGTGCTAAACTACAATCACTTCTTCAGCATTTAAGCTTTATACTTTTGAGTGTGAGTGTGTGTTAGTAAAGCAAATTTAAGTTGTCACAAGGCTGGGTCCATATAGCTATTCCTTAGGTTATTACTACACTTTTACTGTCATACTGTTGGTAAATTTCTTACAAATGTATCCATGCCATATTTTCTTATATTAGTTTAGACATTGATGACCTTTCAGACTTCTTTTAATTCTTTATTTTGTTTAGTCATCTACTATCATAAAATATAGGTGTTTTCTTAAGGAACTATTTATATTTAACTGCCTATCTTGCAGTCCTGTATATTGTGAAAACTTTTTTATTAGTAACTCGTAACTCTTATACTTTCCAAATCACAGTGTCAATATCAGTATCTGTTTTTTGAGAGAGACTTCCTCCTACGCACAACCCAGTGTTTTACCTACTCCATGGCCTTCAATACTTTTAAGCTATACCTGTGGAATAGAGTCTCTCTCTCTCAATATACACACTGACACAGAAACACACACTCTGGTGGTATGAACTGATATGTGTTGAATTGTATCCCAGCACTACCCCCTTCAGAAAGAAAGAAAGAAAGAAAGAAAGAAAGAAAGAAAGAAAGAAAGAAAGAAA